TAGCTAGGTACCATTAGTGTAATGGGTACACTTATGCTTGTTAGATGGTGGTGTTATTTGTTCACATATGTGTAAAGTGGTCTTGTTCTTCATATTATTAGCAATGGAGGCTCGGCCACCAGCTGTGTGTTTGTGTTACTTCTTATAAATGGGAGAATATTGGGTCCTCCAACTCTTCAAGTTTGCTCCATCCTGCTTGGAATGTGTACGTGTTCAGTGGCTCGATATTGTATAATTCGTGAAGTTCTTGTATTTTATGTATGGGGGAGTTGCTTTGATGCTCTACGGATAGCTTTGTTTTGTACTGGTTTGGTTGCTGATTTGCTGATCGTGCTGAGTGGTATTGGTGGATACTCTAGGTCTGGGCGGATGCGTTTTGAATAGGTGTAGTTTAATTTTGGGGACCATTTTGCTAAATCTTCGTAGTTGTAATTGAAGCGTTGTTTTGCCTTTTGTTATGGGTTTTGCTATGCCTGTTCTTTATTGTGAGTCCCAGAATTTTGCCTTTGATGGAATATTGTATAGGTATGTTGACTGTGATTGGTGCTGGGTTTATTTTTGGCAGTGTGTATGATCTTTAGTTTCTGTGTGTTGGTTTACATTTTTTTTTTCATATTCGTTGATTTGCTCGATGGCGTGGGCTGTTTTCGTGCCATCATCTGTTTGCCCTTGCCTTGTCGGATGATTTGGGACGTCATCAGCGCTATGTATTCTCCGTGTGTAGGAGGTGGAATGTCCGCCTTGTGTAGTAGAGGTTGGAGATACTTTCCCCTTTTTTGCTCTGTTATGTTGATGCTGTGGTTACCAATGATAATTTTGGCCCTGTTGTCACGAAGTTACAAAGAGGAAGTAAAGTTATTAGGAAGTTCTTGGGTCGAATTATTTGATCCTTAAATGCCTTTGTCGAATGTTGTTATTCTTTAATACACGTTACATTGATCTCTGTTGTGCATTGAGTTTGCTATGTTGTAAATTAGTGCTAAGGCTGTGTGGTCTGGTTTTCTAAATCCGTCCTGCCTGGGGTATTTCTTTCAAGTTCTCGTGTATTCTCAGTCGGTGGTTAATGATTTTTCAGGACTTTTCCGGTGTTTCGTAAAGATGGTCTGTAATTTGATACTTGAGTGAATTTACCTTGTTTTGTATAAGTCTGTTGCTTACTGTTTTAAATTCGGAAGTAACCAGAGGTGCTGCATTAAAATGTTTGAGTTGGAGTATCATGTTGATTGGAATGCTGAGTATGGGTTTGTTTATTTTACTGAGCCTTGTTCTTGAAACTGTTTATTGTTTTGTGTATTTCCTCTGCGTTGATTGGTTTTATCTGTGTGGAATCGTCAAGAGTGTTTATGTCTATGTTGGGACTTGCCAGATGGGGGTTGTGGAGCATTTGAGTTATTTGTCGCTTGGTGTTCCATACAGAAGTTCAGGTTGTCTCCTGGCTTATTTGAAAAAATTGCTCCAATATTTCCTGAATCCAGGTTCTTGTTCCTGGGTTCAGTTAGTTTGATTTGTTGCTGTTTAGAATGTAGTTTGATTCGTTGCTGGAGATACGCATTAGGTGTTTAATTTTCCGCCAGAATTTTCTGGTTGTGGTAAATTGCTTCTGTGTCTGCTATTAGTTTCTCCCAGTTATTCACGTATGTTTCTTTGGACATGTTTCTTAGTTGTTCGTGTATGGTGTAATATTGTCTTCTGTATTCTGGCGTCCATTCTTGTTCTATGATTAATTTTATTAAATTACTGAATTCTTTCTGTAGATTTCTTGATTGATGTAGTATTGAGGTGTGGTAATGTACGGTGAGTGGTCTTGGGTATGTGGTGTTCCATTGCTTGGCTCACGTTTTCATTACCATATCTCTAGTGTGTTTTCTATTTGGGAAGTGTGTTTGATGCTTAGTTGGGTGATTTGGTGATTGTTTAATGACGTTCTATTTTATAACCTGCATTAAAACTATAACCATGCTTGAAATGCTTGCTCTCTGAGATAGAGGTCGAAAGTTTATTTAGCATCCTTAGTCATGCTACTATTATTATTATAAGGTTCCTAAGGCTATTGCAGGAGTCTTCCTTCAATGATGCAGAATCGTGCTTTGATAGTCTAGGTTCAAACATCATAGAGAAAGGACCGGCAATGATAAATGTACCAGGTGTGTATTAGCCACTGTCTTATAGACATAACTATTTATATAAATATGGGTTAATTATCACCCCTGTAATTTTTAGTAGCTGTGGTATCATGTTCAGCGCACGTGATGGGTAAGGTTCATGCACAAGGTGTGTCCCCAGATAACGTAGGTCAGCTTCTTGGACTTGACCCACAAGCAGTAAACACTCACTTCCCACTACAGTTGGACGTCCTTAGAGCCTATTCTTATAGCTCCGTCCTTCCCCTAGCCCTCACAGTTACAGTGAGTATTATGGTAATTATCCTTTGGACAGTGTACATAGACTCTTTCTATAATAAACTAAGAAAAGGAACATATTGGGTTTTGCTAGTAAAACCCAATAAACATTTCTATGTTCTAGTTCGGCTAGAATAAAGGTAACAGCTTCACAAGTGCCTGTTACTAATGTGACCATTCAGCAAGGTTGTCACATATATGACAGCTTCACAAGTAGTTGTCATACAACGAGTAACAGTCACAAGTAACAGTTACACAGATGGTAACAGTAGATAGAATTTGTTCTCTCCATCACTGTGTTACACTGTTTCTAGAAGTTAGTGTTACAGGTGGTAGTGTGGGCAACATACATATTAAAATATATATATATATATATATATATATATATATATATATATATATATATATATATATATATATATATATATATATATAATATTCAGAAATTTCAGAGTAATTTCAAATATCATGCGATACTGAGCGTTCAAGGTCGTCTGAGGGAAGAGAGCGCTCCGCACATAATGGGGAGTTGTGGAACTAGGCCTATATGATATTAAATGAAATTTGCCGAATTAATAATGATGCGATTCATGAAGTTAAGGGACTATTATTGAATTTAAAATTATTATAGATCGTTTATCAGACTGAATAATGTTACGGGTGTCCCAAGGAGTTATTAGTTAGGCGGAAAATATGTCACGTAGCCTAAGCTAATGCCTTGGAGGGACGCGACGCTGGCTGGTACTCAGTCACGGGGAGCATTCAGACAAACTAGACGTCCCTGCGCGTCCGTCACAGAAATAGTCACGTGGCCTAGTCACCTGTGTTGCACTATTGCAGTATAACAAGTAAGTCCCATTCGATCTCAGACATGGTTAGATAGGGCAGTGGTAAAGTAAACTAGAGCTAACAGTGAGGTTCATTTCAGGGTTTCTGCCAGAACCCACTTGACCGGAGTTGACCGAAGTTTGACTGCGAGAGATTGACTGCCGTTTGAGACTGCCGTTGATGATTGAGGGTGGCGATTGTCACCATGGGACCGATCAGTGTAGGCCTGTCACTGTTTAGCGGGGTATCAAAGGATCTCTTGAGGGAATCTAGCCGTCTGGGTGCCCAGCTGACAGAGGACGATCGTTGGGCTCATCAGCTCTCCTCTACCTCGGCTCACAACACCACATGTCTCGAGCAGCTTAGTGAAACCCTCTCGCTAACGGGAAGCTAAAGCTTCTCTCAACTGCCAGGTCTGATTGGCTCACTCCCTTCCGCTATGGACGCACTGGGAGTACACTGAGACCATGAGTCTAGGAATACCTAGAGGAACATTTTATCTCCCTTATTGCGGGTTGTATGCTGAGTTGGGTGGAGCATGGTTCCGCAGTATGGGTGGACAGTAACATATCAATAATAGTGAATATATTTGGGTGTAGTTAATACCATTTCTCAGTTACTGATATTATCTTGACGTGTGTAGTTTAATATTTCTTAAATAATTTTGATAGTATTGTTTTTAATGTTGTGTCATTAAGTGGAACCAGAGTGATACTGTGATTCGATTCTTTTAATGCATCTAATTTTTCTTCATAATTCTGATCTCAGGTATAACCTTTGTTCCCCAGGTAGTGGTTAAGTTAGGTTAGGAAGAGTGCATCTTTTGGACTGATATTATTTTGTTGAAAGCCCTTAAGGCCTATTCATTGTAAGTATTTAATTTCTTATTTTTTAATACCATTTCCTCAGTGACTGATATTATTTTGTTGAAAGCCCTTAAGGCCTATTCATTGTAGAGTATTTAATTTCTTATTTTTTATACCATTTTCCTCAGTGACTGATATTATTTTGTTGAAAGCCCTTAGGCCTGTTTCATGTGTGCAAGCAACATTTCTTAATACTTCAAATTTATTGTTGCCTGAGTTTCTAATAATTTCTATATCATGTATAACTTTTATTCCCCAAGTAGTGTTTTAAGTTCAAGTTAAGAGTGCGTATATTGGTGTACCATTATTTGATTGTGTTTGTAGTGTTGGAGGGAATATAAGTGTCTAATTTTACAGTGTGTCTCATTCATCAGTAACAGGCTATCCTTCCCGGGTCACGGACAATTCATTTTGTTTAGTAGATTTGAGTGTTCTTCTGCTGGTTCAGGATTTTTTCTCAAAGGCGCTTCCACTGCCATTACCATTTATTAAATTTTAATAAACCCCAACTCAAGTGAAAATAAAGTCCAGTAAATCCGACCGGTTACATATATATATATATATATATATATATATATATATATATATATATATATATATATATATATATATATATATATATATGATAAAATCACAGGGAAAATGGAAAACAACAGGTACCTTAGCTTTCGTCTTTATTCAAGACATCTTCAGAAGGCAGCTGATATGTGAATAGAACGAAATATACTCCGTTGTTCATTTTATCAAGACTATCCACGTTTTCATTGTGGATTTACATGAAATATATATATATATATATATATATATATATATATATATATATATATATATATATATATATATATATATATATATATATATATATATATATATATATATTATCATTTACACTTTTCTTTCAGGCAAGCAGTTTGAAATGGATGACCCACGCCTATTGGAATTTGAAGATTTGATTCGCGTTTTCATGGAGAGCATAGCTCATCTGGCCATCCCAGACATATTCCCGTGGATAATGTACATCTTGCCTGGCGCTCTCACCGGACTCATCTTCCACCTCGACTTACAGAAAAAGAACATATATAAATTCCTTAATTATTTCAATGTGAGTGCTCTGTTTACTGAACAGAGGATCATCAATACAGGCTGGTACTCACCCTTTCACATCCACCTAAAAAATTACTTCTGCAACGTAAATTCACTCTAATGATAAGCACAGTATTATTTTGAACCAATGAATTATCACATTTGCTTTTTAATTATACTGATTACCTTTCATAATTCAATATGTGTTATATTGGTAATATTTCTTTAATGAAACGTAATATAATAATTTGTTCAATGAACAGCTATTCTGACTGAATGACTGACTGAAAATCTAATAAAACCCATGCTTGTGCAACACCGCCTGGCACACAGTTCCTTTAGCATTTTGTTGTGTTTGTTTTATGCAACAGTGATATTTTCAGCTTTGGCTGTCACTGTAGAGAAATATTCATCGATCGGTCCGACACATTAAATTTTTCATGCTAAAGTTCGTGTCATGAAAGGAGTGAGTGTCTTGATTGCTTTACCGCAGAAGGAGATCGAGGAGCATCGAGCCACTCTGGACCGTGATTGCCCCCGGGATTTAATAGATGGCTACCTGATGATGATGGAGGAGAAGGCGGAAGATCCTGACAATACCTTCAGTGGTGAGTGTCCTCGGACCACCTCCTCCAAGGCCTTCTTCATGTTCACACTCTTTCTATGAACCCCTGCCCGCCTCCATCGAGTTAAGGCTTACGTTTTCCAGCACCCGTTATTGAGATTTTTATTTCAATAGCCTCAACCCTGCCTTCAGTACCATCAGGTTGTGGCCCGAGTCTTCAGGCTCACTGGTATCACTGTTGCAATAGAATATGATGCCTTGTTTCATCTAAGCGTTCCTCTTCTTTTCCTGGACTTGAGGCAGCTCACTGTAACACCGCGAATCCCATTTTCTTTAACTTTTCGTCCATGTCTGCCCCAACAAACTTGAGCTGCAGTGCATGTTTATAGATGGGGATAATTATGACCAACGCCTTTTCCTAGATGTTATTTTCTACGTAGTTGAGGATATGTGTTTTCTTTTCTTTTGTTACAGACTGTCCAGTCTCTTAAGCATGATTACCGAGTAGGAGATAAGGGATTGGCTGTAGTCATGTCCAGGTACTGACCTCAGGACAACACCCTTCTGCTGATATTCTGCATTAATTCGCTTTAACACGAGATCTTTATGCCTTTCATAAGCGGCATTAGATTCATTTCTTATTATTTCTGGATAGAAGTTGATGCTACATTTTAGTACTTCTTAGAATTACAATATTCGAACATCTTTCCTTCCTAACAATTTGTTGTGAGAGGATTTTTTTTTCGTCATAAGTTTATCAAGGTCATAGTATACAAGACTAAGGATCAAGTCCGATGACGTAGAATGTGCCAGAAAACTGCAGAGATTAGTTCTACTAACACTTGAAAAATATACTTTGCAATAACTATTAGCGAGGAAAATTAAAAAAAGTTGTATTGGTGGCTTTGAGGGAGGAAGAGCGAGCGACATTGACTCAAAACTGGAGTTTAATTTCTGGATTGAGATGCATGAAAAGCTGTTCCCTGAATTGACTTGAGTTTTAAATTAACCATTTTTAACATTTTATCACAATAAAAACAAACAAATAAAATCACCGGGAAATACATATACATTACACAGTGTACCTCTGATTCTTGCATTGACAAATTGTTCCTGAAGACATCACATTGTTGATTCTGGATCTGGGTTGCTTGTGTCGAACTAGGTGTGCTGTACCTTGTGCCAGCATTTCCAGCGTTTTTTACTGAGAACCCCGTTCGATTTAATGAAAATCAGTAAAAAACTAAATTATCCCTTTCTGTCACGGTGATTAAGATCTAGAACTATCACAAAATTACTTTTTCCCTCGATTTTCTTCCTATTTTGGCCAATTTAGACAAACTAATTGAAACGCACAACAGCAAACTACTCGTTATTGTTTTATTTCTTGTAATTTTTGTCTAATTATTAAAATTTACTTCAAATCTCTCTTGCATAAGTCCTAAGGATTCTCAAGTGTACTTTTTTTCAAATCTCTAGAGAAGGATTTGGCGATCTTAATCCTCGATCTGTTCCTCGCTGGGAGTGAGTCTTCGACCATCACCCTCACCTGGATGTTCTACTATCTGGCCACCTACCCGGAGGTACAGCAGAAGATGCAGGCAGAGATAGATGAGGTCCTCCCTAAGGGCACCCTGGCAACCCTCGAAGACAAGCTCAGGTGATGGCTGTTCTTCCTCCTTGTTATACCTCCTACTATAAATGATGCATACTGTCCTGTTAATCAAATCTTCATCTTTTAACAGTTTTAAGTCATCATGTCTTCTTTCTTTTCATTCTCGTTCGTTATATATTCCTGAAGCATAATTGACCATTCATTGGTTTTCGAGAACGGTTGTGTTGGAACTTTGGTGTAGGTTTCTTGGTCTGATCTTTTTTTTTTTTGACGGGGATTAACCTACCCGGGCACAAGTCACCGACCCACATTGAAGACTGAGGGGAGGAGGGCGAAAAAAAAATACATACAGAAATAAAAAAAAATAAAACGGATTAAGAGTGAGAAACGATATACATACTGTATATATTGTGTTGTCAAAGTAAAATAAGTAATGGAGACCCTGCAATTTTGTGTAAATGAGGCAGAAAGTCAGTCAGCTCAACAACTTGGGACTTGGTCACAATTTTTTGTGATGCCATTTGGCAGCAGGGTCTCCCATTAGTTAACACATTATGCTTGCAATATCTTCCAGGCGGTAGTATCTCCCTGTTTGATAGATACCTCCTACCTAATACCTATTTTATGACTTTAGGTCAATAATCAACCTTTATTGATATTGAAATCCGAGGAAACTTGGGTTCTTCCACCTGTTGGATGGGATGAAATATTTGCAGTTCATCCACAAATATGTACCGGGTATGTAACGTTGTCCTTCATATATTCAGTACTGGTACACACGTAATATACTGTGAATTAAAGGCCGCAGGGTGAAACCTTGTTCAATGGTGTACCAAGTGTAACAGTATCCAGCCACGGGCGCAACAGATGCTATCCCGGAGTATGTGTCAACAATTAGGAGGAACATGTAACATGTTTTAGCATGAAGATCTAGATTTTATCCACAAAACTTGCGGTTCACTGGTCATAGGAATAGCTACAGAAATTTGAGATAATAAGCTTAATAAATCAAGAGTTAATCTTTTACATGAAAGGGGATAATTCTTGAACAGGTTAAAGACACCCATGAAGATGTTGAATGAAAGAAGTATTGTGATGACTAGAAAGATGTTTTAAAATTATTTCCGTCATCATTTTTGCACGGTTTTCTTGCCGAGAAAAGAAGAATGCAAAGATAACTACATTAAAAATTTACTTACCAACCACCTCCCTGAACTTGTCAATTCCTTTTCTCTGTTTCCTAGAAGAAAAACGTAGAAGCTTTAGAGACAGTCTTGAATTGTTCACTTTTTTAGTTTGGTTATTAGGAAAGATTTTCTCCAGTTTCATTACGTCTTGTTGATACTAACATTTGACCTGGGTGTCGCTGTATAGAATGCCCTACACGGAGGCGGTCATACACGAGATCCTACGTAAGTCTTCACTAGCAGCTACAGGCGTCCAGCATGTAGCTACCAGAGACACTCAGCTGGGCGGCTACTTCATCCCTAAGGTTGGTAGCCTTTCACTATTATATTCTTCTGTTGTAAATGATCACTTGGGCCTCATGATTTGAAGCATCGACATCTTAATCGTTGCTGTCAACCACAGGCGAAATATTTTTATATGTATCGTTGTATACAATATAAGTTGTAATTTATTTCGTGGTATAATATTATGAGATGTTTTACTTTTAGTTGTGTCGTTGTTCCCTTACAGGGCACTATTGTTATGGGAGCACAAGAGACCGTACATCACGACCCTCGGTACTGGGACCGTCCTGACGAGTTCCTGCCGGAGAGGTGGCTCGATCAACAGGGGAAGTTCACCGCCAAGAAAGAAGGTTTTCTACCCTTCGGTGTGGGTAAGTTAACACAATTAGAGAAAACAGGCGCCATGAAGACTTTCCTCACTTGTAAATGTACTAACTTGTCTAAATTGTAAGTAATCGTCATTTTGTGTACACTAGAGCTCTTTGGTGTAACTCTTTAAACGTTTTGTGAAGTGTAATCTAAATTCACCTACTGCACCTCTGTACTCGAAGATTTGTCACTGTGAGCCAATACCGATGTGGTGTATCAGTGCTCCCGTTGCTCGTATTCTCCACATTGGCTGAAACCCTTACACTTCGTTTTATTATTTGTGTAATTAAACAAAATATACTTCATGATATTCGTTTCCCATATTTAGTAAAATTTAACTGATCTTTCTCCAAGGATAAAGGTCAACAGCAACTAACACAGTAGAGAAATTGACTAGTCTCTTGTGAACTTATGATAAGAACAAGGAGGACCTTCATTATCATATGTTGGGAAAACACTGAAGACACGTTAAACTTTCTTCCAAGGGGTTTAATTTTTTTAGGATTGTATCTGGAAAATATTAATATATGTCGTTAGTATGTGTATGTAAGCACACACACACACAATTCCCATATGATGGTCTACATCTAAGCTCGTTAACAAAGTATATATGACCATCGACCAGTCACTACACTCAACTCAAGACGCACTCAACATAATGACAAACTACCTTCATATGAACAAAGGAACATACAAGACAGCACTCATCACAAAAGACGTACAGAAAGCCTTCGACACAATTTCGCAAGACGGCTTCAAGTATAAAATATGCACCAATTTTAACCTCCCTTAAAAATTACAGCAGCAACTGTGCAACCTCCTAACAGACAGAAAGATGATGATAAAATTCACACCTGCTCACTCGGACTTCATATGAACAAAGGAACATACAAGACAGCACTCATCACAAAAGACGTACAGAAAGCCTTCGACACAGTTTGGCAAGACTGCTTCAAGTATAAAATATGCACCAATTTTAACTTCCCTTAAAAATTATAGCAGCAACTGTGCAACTTCCTAACAGACAGAAAGATGAGGATAAAATTCACACCTGCTCACTCGGACTACTTCACACTGCAAGCAGGAGTCCCACAAGGGTCAGTCCTGTCCCCAAATCTATACATTATTTACACAAATGTCTTACCCGACCCCTTACACATCGACCCTCTGACAATACAGTACGCCGACGATGTAACTCAACTAGTCAGACACAAACAAGCTCCAGACCACCTAACAGACAAAGCACACAGGGAGCTAGAACAAGTTACACGATGGGAACTCCTATGGCGAATACAAACTATCTCTAACAAAGCACAAATCACCTACTTCGGCACCAAAAGACGCCAACCACGTCACATGTACCTAAACCCTTACATCGACAACCCTACACCCATTACTATCAAACAAACAAATACAATCCTAGGAGTCACATTCAACAACACCCTCACCATGGCACACCACTTCATGACGAAGTCAGCAATCGCAAACAAAACACTCGGAAATATACACAGATTCAAAACCGCATCAATCGAAACCAAAACACACCTATTCAAAGCCCCCATACACCCCTACTGACATACGCACCTAACACACTCCAGCTAGTAGCACCAACAAACGCCAAGAAACTACAAGTCATACAAAACAAAGCACTAAGATTCATCCATAACACACACTGGTCATCCTTCACCCCAAATAGACACCTACATGAACTCCGCTCCATCTAACCACTCAACATCGACTGGACACAGCTAGGACACAAGCAAATTGAAACCCTCCTCACCTCTTACCCTTAATGGCAGGAATACTTCGACAACATCATACTCCCACGCAGACTCAGAAACAGGAATCCCTCCATACTAAACAGACCAAACACACCCTACCCACCTCCCGTATATTAGTAACAGCCAGATACAGCAACCCGATGCCCCTCCGTTTACACAACACAGCCAACCCCTAATAATACCCAACAACCACCCCATATCAAAACCTAACCCCCCCTAGCCATACCCAACAACCTCCCCCCAAATCAAACCTAACACCCCTCCAAACCCACACCCAACCACTCCTCCCTAGCAAAACATAACTCACCCAATCTCTGCTAAAAAAAATTAAAAAATTAATCCACACCTGACCTTGCCCCAATCATACCCAACAACCACCCCCAGAGCAAAACCTAATTTACCTAACCTCCACTAACAATCCCCCCCAAAAATAACAATCCCCCCAAAATAAAATCCTACCATACCCAACCTTTAATAACAATCCCACTCAAATTAAAAATAACCCAACTCAACCATCCACACCCTTCCTCTCCTCCCAAAACAAAAACCTAACATATCCATCCCATACTAACACACAGATGACTTGGACGCCTCCCTTAGCCAATGAGGTCGGGAAGGGGTGCATAGTACCTGTACACAAGCCTTCCCTCAAGGAATGAGACTGTTCTCCCTCAAGGAATGGGGCTGTCCTTGCACAAGAAGTGACGCCGCTTGGACCTCAAGGAATGGGGCTGTCCTTGCAGAAGAAGTGACGCCGTTCGGGCCTCAATGAATGGGGCTGTCCTTGCAGAAGAAATGACGCCGCTCGGGCCTCAAGGAATGAGGCTGTCCTTGTAGAGGAAGTGACGCCAATGAGGTCCCGTGGGGAGTGCACAATACCTGCAAAAGCCCACCCCGCAAATGCAGAAAGCTTGTATAAGCCCGCGGGAAAACAAAGCAAAAATTAAAATAAATAAATAGTTAAGTAAATGAAATAAAATAAAATAAATAACCCAACTCAACCAACCACTAACCAAACCTACAATCCTCCCAAAACAAAAACATAACATACCCGACCTTACTAACAATTTCCCCCTTTCCCCCCACAAAAAAACCCTAACCTAACTCAACCTTCCTTTATCCACACACAACAAATCCTCCCTAAGCAATCCTATCTCAACATAATCTACATACCCGACCTCCCCCCAACCAACAAAAATAATAATAAATGAATAAGTAAATAATAATAAAAAAAAATTAAATAAATAAAATTCCAACCACCCCCCAAATCCCCCCCAACCCCCAACCCCCAGACAAAGCCGCACAGAAATACTTACAATTCTCCAGAACCAACCCAAACATACCCAACCTCAGTGACAACCCCTCTCAATAAAAACAACCTAACTCAACAACTCCTCCCTAAACAAAAACTATCACTTCACAAGTCAACTTACCGACTCCAAAACCCCAGCCCTCCAATTAAAACCAACCAACCTCTATACACAATAAACCCCCCAAACTAAACATATCATACTGTACAATAAAGAAAAAAAAATCTTCCTAATCTCCGTTCATATTTTGACAAAAAACCTCAAATCTGTCTCCTGCTTTCACTAAAAACAAACTCTCCGACGATACGCTCATCCTTCCTTGCTACGAATACTTTGACATTTCAAGCTCAAAGATTCAAAACTCAACTCGCTCCGTTCCTCTTTGACATAGCTCAAAGACTTTACCCTCACCTTTCTCTAAACAACTCTACAACTAACCTACATTCCGTTTCCCCTTCCTTGTTTTTCTTTGAGTGTGTGGTGTCCGTGCCGCCCGCCCCCTTGCACTTCTCGGCTTGTGCCGCCGCCGTGGCGGGACGGTTCTTCCTTCGCTTCACCGACACAGCCCGAGCACCTGACGACGACAGCCCCCTCCCCCTCGTCCTGGCGAGGTGTCGCAGCACCACCCACCCATCCGGGCGCATTGCCTACCCCCTCACTCAAGCGGTGTTTAAGCCACTGCACCTTTCTTCTTCTAAAACTCATTTCTATCCGCCCTTAATCCTTCCCCTGAACTTCCTCCCCACCCTATCACTAGCCTCTATTCATTCATTCATTCATTCACTACACCAGATAAAGAGGAGATCATTAAATATTCTCAATACCTCATATTCTCAATACCTCTTTCCTCCTTGAAGCTATGACGTTTGAGCTCATTAATGACAATAGATCCTTCTACCAATTTAGTTATGAGCTGACAGGCCTTAGTTGTTGAAACTCAATAATAACATTATAACGTCAACGAGTATTGCACAGTACATATTCGGGAGTTGAGGGCACAAGTTACAAGAGTTGCATGTTCAACTCTCAGAAGTATTGTGCACTACCCCAAGAGTAAATATTGTAATGACTGAGGAAACTGACCGTTTAGGTGTTTTCGCTGGCATATGTAAGACCACCGACGAATGGAAGAGGTTCGTGTTAGTTGCTTCTAGAAACTGGATTTATGGTCTTGGTTTTAGCTAATTTTCCAAATTTGCAATCCATTACAACCAATAAGCATGATCTATATTATTTTCACATGCACCAATTTCTGCCAGGTAAACGCTCTTGTTTGGGCGAGGCTCTGGCGCGCATGGAGTTGTTCATCTTTTCCACTACGGTATTCCAGAGCCTTATCTTCTCTCAACCACCTGGCAAGAAGATTGATCTTCCTTATGACCCAAAAGTTGTCTTCACCCACAACCCCAAGATCCAGGATGTCCTGATCACCATCCGGCCAGGATTCTAATGGAAATAATTATACATACCTGAGCTTTTGATTTTTGTTAGTTATAGCAGTATTTTGAGTATTATTCCAATATAGCCTCCCACACTTTCACTTGCTACAGTCAGCGTTGTCAGTTCTCGCCTCCGAGAGTTGGGAAACGTTTTACCTTGCCCCTCTCCCATCCCTGTTGCCACCTTCCACTCCTCCCCTCCTCACCCTCCCCCCACTAACCCTTCACCTTCCTCTCACACCGGCCCTCGGTCCTCCACTCCATCCCGCAATTGAATGCTACCGAAGCGGGTTCATATTTCCGTGGATCCCAACTCTGAGATGAGTATTGATAATAGGAAACATTGATATTTGGTAGTGAATCTACTACATTCAGGATATTTAAGAACACTAATGTAAAGGAACTATATTATACATATTTGAAAATCCATATCTGGAGGAGTGAATGCTTCGGGTGCAGGTTTATAACCCCGCGGTTCACAACTCTCGGAGATTAAGATTGACAATGCCGACTGTAGCAGGTAGAAGTGTGGGAAGGGTGTACATATTTTAAGGGGTTCGAATATTGCACAGCACAAACAAAACATATTTGTTTTATATATATATTCCTGGTATTTTTTTTATAATATTGCAATATTATTTTGTTATTATAAGCGATATAAATTAAGAATAATTGTACGATTTGTCTCAAGAAAACGTATAGAACTATTATGATAATAATAACCGTATAAACAAAGTGGAAGTGTGCTTCTGTCTGGGGAGTGCGTTCGTGTAGGCACAGTATGTATCTGTGTAGGTAGAGTATGTGTGTCTGTAGGTGTGTGCCTGTGTTGGTGTGCGTCTATGTAGGTGTACGTCTGTGTAGGTGTGCATATGTATTGGTGTGCATTTCTACAGTTGTGCGTCTTAGTTGGTGTGCGTCTCTGTAGGAATGCATCTATGTAGGTGTGCGTCTGTGTAGGTGTGCGTCTGTGTATGTGTGCATCTGTTTAGGTTTGTGTCTGTGTAGGTGTGATTCTGTGTGGGGAGTGCGTTTGTGTAGGTACAGTACGTGTCTGTGTTGGTACAGTACGTGTCTGTGTAGGTACAGTATGTGTCTGTGTAGGTAGAGTATGCGTCTGTGTAGGAGTGCGTCTGTGTAAGAGTGTGTCTAAGTACAGGTGCATTTTGTAGAAGTGTTTCTGTATCGGTGTGCGTGTGTGTAGGGGTGCATCTATGTAGGTGTGCCTCTGTGTTGGTGTTCGTCTATGAAGGAGTGCACCTGTGTAAGTGTGTGTTTGTGTGCGTCTGTGCAGGAGTGCGTCTGTGTAGGCGCCCATCAGTGTATGAGTGTGTTTTTGTGTGCGTCTGTGAAAGTGTTCGTGTGTGTTGGTGTGCACCTATGTAGGTGTGCGTCTGTGTTGGTGTGTGTCTGTGTAGGTGTGCGTCTGTGTAGGTGTGCGTTTTTGAAAGTGTTCGTGTGTGTTGGTGTGCACCTATGTAGGTGTGCGTCTGTGTTGTG